ATTATTCGCCGTAGAATAGAGACAAGACGATGAACGAAGTTAATGTTTGAATTTGTGATACGACGGTCTGGATAGTCCGAATAAAATTGGAATAAATTGTAGGAAGAATTTTATTCGTTCTTCTCGCAGGCTTAACACACGATCGGACCGGCGCTTGTGTCCTTTGAGAAGGAATGAAGTTCTTTTTTATAATTTTGCAAGCAAGACTTATTCCGGCCGTCCGGCCCGTCCTATTGGAAATTGAAGAAAAGATCTTAACACCGTTTCGCAGAACCAATTTGGTTTCTTACGTTCTCCGCATTTAGTTTCGGATTTCGTTGACTTGTGAATTATTATATGACGAAAGAGAGACGCATGAGATGTGTACGCAGAACGAGACTATTCGTATATTATAAGGAAGAGAGAGAGAGAGAGAGAGAGAGAGAGAGAGAGAGAGAAAGAGAAAATATTCATATTTTCACACATCAGTATTCTAAGACAAGAATATATGTCTTCACTATGACTGTTGTATTGATTCGCAGGTATTAAAACATCTGGCAAATTAATAAGTATAGGATCTAACTATTATATAACTGCTGTTACTTTTTTAAAAAAGCGAAGAAAATTTAGACGATTACTGTAACGTAGTCAGCGATTATTCCCCATTAATTAAATTAACCGCGTAATCGGATCTTGCGACTATGTACGAACCCTACGTATGAACGATACACGTTGAGAACTTTGCTCGTAGAGAAAAAAAAAAAGAATGTGAAGTCTTTCTAGAGCACTTCGTCTGCTTGATTTTACGCGGCACGCAACGCATCGCGTTTCGAATAGTATAACGTTGCGTGTGCAAATCCAAAATCTTCCACTGCCGTTAGAGAGATTCGCATTGCGTTAAGCTCATCAACTCAAAATACTTATTGTTTTAGAGATTATTAATTGATTTCGCCCGCGGACGTATCGTTCGTTATCCGCGACAGCGTTCATCTGGCTTCCTACTTTTCGTTCATCGGATGTCACGAAAGTTTCGAATCAACGCAACACACATGCACGGCAAAATTAGACGTTCAGGGACGACATCGCCATCATCTATCGAGCCAATTAGCGCGTCCGAAGACGCGATTAGATGTGAAGATTATTCGGATGCGATAAGAAAGAAAAATGCATTGCGCGAGCGAGCGCCCTATGAGGGAAACGAATTCTTTTCCGGGAGTAACGCGAGATTGCGTTTTCGTTCGTCATTGAAAAAGTTAGGTTTTTTCATAATTACACCGTGCGTAGTATTATTATTGTAATGTTAAGAGTTTACATCGCAATTTTACCCGCGCGTCGGGCTCGACGACGCGGAGACCCTCGCGTCGGTTCTCTCCCATCAGCGCGGAGTTTTTCTAAGGGTTGACATTCGTCGATTCGTCGTGAGATCTTTCGGACGAGGCGTCGTCGCGGTGTCGCCGTGGAACAAAACGCGAGGGGATAGGTATATCGCGCTGCGAACGATAGATTGTCAAAAAAAAAAAAAAAAAAAAAACGACGGCGAGTTTCTCCGATTAATAATAAAACGTGGTACCTTTGTGAGTGCGACCATCTTAACGCGAGACGGTGTCGATGATATAACGAGAGCACATTAACACTTGTATCTTGTTTTGTATGTAATTGATGTACATTATTGCTCGTAATAGCGAAATAGTTGGTAATAGCGAGAGTGAGAGAGGGAGAGAGAGAGAGAGAGAGAGGGAGTACAGCCGTAGTGTGACGTGCTAAAAATGATTACGGTTTAAGGAAAAAAAGGAAAAAAAACATTCGTAGCGTGTAAAAGTATTAGCTAGAGTATAAATGCCAGCGGAGAAGCGACTACGAAGTAAAATGTAATTTAATATCGTTCGGGGTACGACTGAAGTGGAGCGTCGATGTGAGCGTCGTAATTTAGGAATGAACATCCGGTAAGATCGCTTGACGAGGTTGCGCGATGACTAATATAAATTCCGTGGCGTCTCGACGCGTCGAGTGTGCCAAGAGAAGTAGCTCGTTAATTTCACTCGTGAGGAATTCCTGATGAAAATAAAAGGAAAATCTAAAAGATTTTATAATTTGAAAAAATCTACGAATTTAATTATTAGCAAACAATTCTTCACACTTGATATACGGCATTCAAATTCGAGGGCACTCGGCGTGTTAATTTGCAAAATTCGTGAGCAATTTTTTTTCTGTTTCTCTTCTTTTCTCCCGTTTGTCTTCGCTTCGTTCTCAACACCACTGTGTAATTTTTAAATTCTTCAATATTTTTATATATGAAAATAAAAAAGAAAAATCGTTAGCTTTCGCAATATACGACGAGAGACACTGCGATCGATTTATGTACAAGTTCACTGATGTGAAAGACAGCGCAGATTGTGGGGCATTAAGTCGATCTTACCGATTGTTCTTCAGGAGGCACCGGCCGTGCCACTTGGAGCACCGCGCCTCGCATACAATAGCCGATACGTTTAGACATCTCATACATTCAGACGAGAAAACCGACACACAACAGAAACAAATAATTTTTTAAAATTTAATTATTATTTAAATAGTACAGTTACATTGTTAGTACGAATAACGACGCTTTTTATACGAATTTTAGTTTTTAAACGTCGATCTTACGATATATATATATATAGTATAAATAAATAAATATATATATATATATAGTATATTAAAAAAAATGAGAGACAATGGTAATAGTAATAATAATTGATATCGATTTACGGAGCGGATAAAGAGAAACGAAGGAAGTGTGTGGGAGGAGACTAAGTGAGTACGTGAGCGAGCACGTGAGTGAAAGGAAAAGAGAGAAAGATAAATGAGAATGGATGTGTGTGAATGAAAATGAGAAAAGAGAGAGAAAGAGATGTTTAAGTTAGGTGATTGTTTGTCTATCGTATACACGAAGGCATACGTTAGGTAGCCTCGATGCTATTTAAACAGACTTAATTAATGTATTGCAAATGAATTAATAAAGTGTAAGCGAAGCGTGTATCTATATAGTGCGACTTTTTCTTTTGGCATCTACAATAAAATTCTTGATGAACAGTTAAGACCTCCTGGCATATTTAGAAATTAAGGGTATACAAGAACAGACTGAAACACCTTTTCCCGCAAAAAAAAAAAACTATCAAAATATCTTTGCGAATCTCGTGGGTTGCAGTATCGATTTCACCTGAATATTGGTAGAAATTTCATTAAATTTTCTTAATTTACGTCTTTATTTTAGTTCACCTTTAAATTAAAATCATATTGAGGCGAGATTGGACACAGTTTTTCAAGAGTAATGCTAAACTTATATTTTTTAAATATTATTTTGTTTTTCTAGATTTACTTGATTGTCTTGATTCCTAATGAATTAATGTGAACGCGCGAATTCAGAAGACACTTGTCTATATTATTACAAGCAATATTATACAGTATAGCAGTATTATACTAACACAAATAATTATAACTGAAGAAAGACCGCTTATCCAAAACGGCACTAATAATATTTTGTATAAATTTTATGATTTCAGTTCATAAATCGCGCGCCAATTATTTGATTATTTTAAAACTAAACTAAACTCTGGTAACTGGAGTACCTACGCAACATTGCAAATCAATATTATGCTAAATTAATTAGCAATTAACATTACAATATACGGCAATATTATTACCATACTATATTAATAATATTTATAAATGATATTCAAAAATATGCTATATTAATAATATTTATACTCTATTAACAATAGTATTAACTAAAAAAGAATCAGTGCACATTTCTCTTCGCCGAGATTCATTTGTCCGAGTCTGGCGAAACTCGAATTCATCGTCGCGGCGCGGCGCAAGCGTGATGCCGATCGGAGAAGCGCAGCTGACTGCTGAGCGTGGCTGAGCGAAGCTGACTTCAGAGTTCCAGACTCTCTTCAGGGGCCAGATCAGATAAAGCAGACTGTGGCATTGTGCATTCTGTGGCGCGACGGCAACGAGGACTGACGAGGACATCGAAAATCACGACGGCCAGCTCGCGCGACGATCACGCGTATACGGGACGGGGGGGGACTCGGGTACAGGTGTACGCAAGTACTAACTCGAGGTACGGTACTCGATCGCCGCATGGCTCGTGCCGGCGAGAGGGGATCGGTTACGCGCCCGACGTCGATCAATCGCCCCGCGGAGCGGCTCCTCGTCACTCGCGACGTCTCGGTATTGCCCACGTGAACGCCCCGCTCACCATGCGATGACGGTTTTCAACTACCTTTGTGGAACTGCCAGTGAGTACTCGACGACTCGCGGATCGCACGCGACTCGGCCAGGTGTTCTCGCCGAACGGTTTCTCGCGTCACAAATTCCTATTCTATATTGTTGTATTCCACGTTCGTGGTTCGTCGCGTTTGTACGTACCTCTCGAAAGAAACGACCGATAAGAAGTAATCATCGGTTTATCCCGGTTGTGAAACGGGGATCAGGAAACATCGACATACACCTCAAAACGGGTTTTTCTGTCTCGTTTCCATCTTTTTTTCGAGCAAAACTTAAATGTATATACAAACGTGAATGTAAATACCGTCCCGTTTTCAAGTACGAAAAGTGTAAGAAGGTGCAGCCTGTCATCACTTTATTCCCGCACAGATTTGCATACTCACGATACTGCGATAAAATTGGCATAACCTTTCTGGAAAAGAAACGATCGTTTACGAGGAAAGATCAACTTATCGCTCCGAATACATTAAAATGCTATTTTATAAATTATGACACATAATATAATGGAGAGAGCAGTATATTCTTATGACATTTTAATGACAGCTCTCGATTCTCATAATTGTTTTTTATCGCGTGATTAGGCAATACTATTTCAAGTAGATATGCATCAGGTCAAAGGTAAACAAGGAAACACTTTATCATATCGTATTCTATAAAAGAGTATTTTTCCTGTATAAGTTTTTTAAATGTAATGCACTTGAAATATATCGAAACTCTATTTCCAAAAATGTGTCTTTCGGTGATTGTATATTAATAGAATATGTTGATAAACTATAGACAAAACATATGATAAAAACATATTACATGTATTAATAAATTTAAAATATTTAAATAATTTAATTTAAAATAATATATTTAATGTTTTTATCATATGTTTTATTTAAAGTTTATCAACATTCTGTTAATAATTTTAAAGAAAAACTCAGTTCATTAATTAGTATTGTATAATTAATTTGATTATAATTGATTTTATTGAATTATATACATATGAGAATTGCATACATGAAATTGATAATTGATATGTGATTATTATATAGTTTAAAAAAAACATTCAGTATTTATATGGTAGATAGTATACATCGTAAAAGAACCTTAGTGAACATAAGTTGAAAATTTAACTGTTTCTGTGATATAAACATTTGTAACATCATGAATGACTTACTGGCTTTTACGTGTCGCATGCAATATTTACCACAGTGTTTATAAACCGCGTTCTGTATGTCTGTATTCAATTTTCAGACATACTTTATATCAGAAGATTTTACCAATAATATATTAGTCAGTTATTATCAACCAGTGATGGCGAATCTACATATTATTTGGTGATTGTACAATTATATCGTGCTAAAAATGTCGGTATATTACTCTCAAGTCTCAAGAAATGGCAGATATGCATTTTTGCATAGTTCGACTCATGTTCACTAAGATTTTTTTACTCAGAGTATGGTACATACTATCTACCATACAGATGCTGAATATTTTTCTTAAACATCCCGTACATATCCAAAGGCAGATCAATTGTTGCAATTAATGTTTAAATATGATTTCTTTTTAGGAACGCTGCAGCTTTTACAATCTCCATCTGCCAATGTACACAGAAGTCTGCGCTTTCTCTTTCGAAATGAATCTAGTTTCGTGCCTAGGAAGATACTTGTCGTGGCAAAATTGTCCCGGTATCATTTCGAAAGATTACGGGAACCCAAGCTCAGCGAGGCCCAGCTGAAGGTGAAACTGCTAGAAAGAGGTTCGGATTATGATACCATGCTCGCCAGCCACATGGCCACCAAAGCTGTGGAAAATCAAGTTGTCCAGATCTTGCAAAAGATGAATGTAGAGTATAAGATAATAGATAGGTAAGCCCAAATGTCTGACAAGAAAATTATAATAAAAAAAATGTATAATTGGAAAATAAGCAAAGCTTCCATTTTTTAATTTCTTAACTTTGTACTAAAGTTGAGGAAAATTTTCATGTGTATATAGATTTATACGCGATGTTGAATGAACTACGTACTCCCAATTTTTTATTTCAAAATTGAAACATTAATCGTTAAGTGCTTGTCGCAATGTAAGAATAAATTGCATTTTTTCAGGACAAATTTAGATCATTCGCTGTTTACATGGGCGGACTTAGTGCTGCCGGTCGGCGGCGACGGAACGTTTCTCCTAGCCTCGAATTTAATATTTAACGACAAGAAACCTGTAATGGGCATTAATTCGTATCCTCAGAAGTCGGAAGGCTACCTCCTATTGCCGGCGAAATATACGAATGCCATACCAGAAATTTTCGAAAAGCTGAGAGCAGGGCACTACAGTATACTCATGCGAAGACGAATTCGGATCACTTTAAAGGGAGAAGAAATATGGCAAGCTCCCTTTCACATGCATGAGAAAGGGCGCATCGTTGGCAGCGACAGGCACGTTACATTATTAATTCTACAACTAAATTATAAATTATTTATATGTCTACAGACTTAGAAATTACTTTACTATCGACAATTTATTTTTGGAACTTCTATCTATCGTTTCCGTATTCTTTACTGCAATACAAACTTTGATTTTTCTGTATTTATTAGATTTTATATGAACGAGAGGTTTGTAAACCAGCACAGCGTACCAACAGAATTACCGACAGAAAGGCGTCTACCTTGGTTGGCGCTTAACGAAGTGAGTTCGTTAATGCTCCTCGATTGCACGCGCAAGTATTGGCAGTCGGACGACCCGACTTACTCTTTTACGCATATCTCAGGCCTGGTTTTTGTCGCCAGGTTTTCATGGGTGAAACGTTATCGGCACGGACGAGTTCCTTACTTATAAAGTTCGACGAGGAGCGGAAGTATCACAAGGTGAAGGGCTCCGGTTTGTGCGTGAGCACTGGAACGGGATCGACGTCTTGGTACAAATCTATACACAGCTTGAATCATCAAACCGTGCGGGAAATATTAAGCTTCGTAGATAAGCGGAAATTTACCAATGACGAAATTGATGCGATCTGTTCGACGTTCAATAACAGCTTGCGGTTCGATGCAGGTCAGTACATGTGGAAACGTGAATATCGAGAGATGAAAGAGAGAGAGAGAGAGAGAGAGAGAGAGAGAGAGAGAGATGTCAATATAATCTTCTTAATATGATTAATATGTCATGTATACGTATTGTTTACAGAGGATTCCAAACTGTGTTATTCCATAAGAGATATGATAATGACCAATGCAGTACCCGTTCCGAAAGACGTGTACACTCGCGGCTTCTGCAGAAAAGTCACCGTGAAATCACAATGCTTCGATGCAGGTTTAGTTCTGGACGGTGGAATAGCGGTCCCCTTCAACTTCGGCACCATCGCGGAAATAGAAACTTTTCGCGAGGATTCTTTGCGAACTGTCAGTCTTCTTGATTGAATTGATGATTTTTAACGGATCAGGTCATTCGAGCATTTGTGATAACGCAAATACGAAATTTTTAACTATGTAAATATCACCCCCATATTTTTTTATTAAAATTTCTGTGGATAAACATTTCTAATATAACATATAGATATTTAATGGGAACAGGCTATTGTAGAGGCTATTGAAATAATTTAATAATTTGTTAGAATTCGGGTTTTAACAGGATTTTTCGAAGAAAACAAGCAAACTTAATTTAAAAAAAAGAAATTTTTGTTGAATTGTCATAATAACACCATAAATGTCTTTTAAGACTAAATCTATCAATATGTAACATATATTTGAGATTTTAGTGTATCATATGTTATTATTACTGTAAGTTGACATACCTACATAAATACCAAATATTCGCATTTGTAAGCTAGTATGAAAAAAACATACCAGATTGTTACTATTTTTTTTTATATACATTTAGAATATTTTAGTATACATAAATAGACGAACAGTTTTATATATATCAATGTATCTATTCAACTCATATGAATAAACTTAAATGCATTTTATGTGATAAGTGTTTTGTCGTATATTAGAGTATATTTTTATATGGTATTTTATACTTTAGCAATATCATTCGAAGACTTTGCAAAAACCTCAATTTTAGGTACCTATTATCTAAATATATATTCTCCTGACAATTAACAATTTTTCAAAAATCTCGAAAGATGTAAATGCCATATCTCTACTTCTTAATAGAATATAGTCCTCCAACTTTTGCAATAAGATATATTTATAGATAATTATTTATTATACACTTCTATATGATAAAATGATTTTGACCTTGAAAACGACAATTTTGGATTTGAAATAACATCTCAAAATATGTGATTCAATACGGTTTTTAATATTGTCTCTAATATTCTAACATTTGTATGAAAATTCTGAAAACATTGCATTTCTATAAAACACAATCTACACTTTTACGATTGCATTGTGTCACGCTTCTGCACTTGAAGCGAAATTAATGCGCGATCGAACATCGGAGAGAGAAAGAGAGAAGATGAAAAAGTGCACCACACACACGCACACACACACAGATTTAATTGCAAGGGGCACATACGTACGTCGCGTGAAGTTGTGTACGCTTGTCAGTCGCGAGTGTCGCGACTCCGAAATGCCTAACTTCAGGTGTGACTAAACACGTCACTTGGTGCTCTTTTGTTTATATTTCGGCCGCGATACGCGATCTGGGCTGTTCGACACGGACGGTGGTGCGGAGTCCTGGGGAATGGTTCCCTCGTTATTGCGCGACGGTATGCGACGCGATGCACGTGCGTGACAACGTTTCGTCGAGACACGATTCGACTATCATCTGGCCGTATCTATGAGAGCTCCCGGCCGCGAAACGGTAAGAAATGAGAGAGAGAAAAAGTCTCAAGCGGAAACGCTCCGTCGCCGAAGGTCGGATGCACGGCGCGACGGAGTGCGCCTTTGTTCGCGACGCGAATGTCTCTCGGGTGAGACGGTTGCGAGAACGCGCAAAGGTCGCTCCTCGATTCGACTTTTAATTTCTCGAGCTCGTTCGCTCCCGTCGACGGCGACGGGGTAAACAACCGCGTCTGCTGAATTTTGAGGTTAGCACGTCGAATTAACCTCTATGACCGAGCCGAATGGAATATTCCTCCTCTAAATCTCTCCCCTCCGAAGAATTTGTGTCAAAACAATTCAACCAAGTTGTATTTACGCGGTGTATTACGCTAATTTTTACGTATAAGCTTTTTTAAAGTATGTTACGTATTTTAAAAAACAGTTTATAGGTATGGCTTAATGAAAAGATTTTTTTTCAACAAAATAATATAATGGCGGAGGTTTAAGAGAAATAAAAAATACCTGATTTTTTATCTCTCTTAAAATTCTTTGTCAATTGACTGAGACATAGAAAAATGTTCAAATAATATGTAATGAAGGTAACGTTCCAATAATAATCTGAGGATTCAAACTAAATTATTATTAATAGATCAATCTTAATGAAGATCTGTGCACATACCACTTAAGATAATCTGTAATTTGCGTCAGATTTCAGGATAGAATTCTATTTATAATTTTACGTTGTGTATATTTTGATGTACATACGTAATTCAGGATAGATTTCACGCATTTGCATACTGCCATCCTTCTCAACTATCTTTATTTTATGTAAGATTATAAAAATTCTATTGTAGATTCTGAATTATTCTCGATCTGATTCATAAATGGTATATCGTTTGAAATATGCTCAATACAAAAGTTTATTTATATATAGTTCATTTTTATTTAATATTAAATATGTCATGGAGAAGGAACACAGTATGCATAACGCTAACAATGCATTCCATTTTAATCTTTTAAGCATGCAACGATACGCTATCAGATACTCTTGATTTGATACGAAATTGTTTATGGAAGAGCATATCATATAATGTAATGATATATGTATATTAAATATATCGTATAACAATATTATAAGACTAAACGATTGCGTTTTATTGAATATCATTTAGATACGTCAGTATGATAATTTATCAATTATTTCGTTGTAAAGTTAAACTTTTAAATTTATATATAAAAGTAATTAGTTGCAATATTTTGATAAATTGTAACTAAAATTGTATATAAAAATCAATCGAATCATTGCGTCGATTTCACGGCGATATGTATTTGTAATTTTAGAAAGAGTTTATAGAAAGTTTATAGAAGTTTATAGAAAGACTGGAGAATACGTAAATATATGTATATATGCCCAAATTTTGTCGATATTCTTTCATAATCGGAATAAGAGAGTTCCTTAAAAACGATACAAAGATGAGATAAGAAGACCATAACAAAAAGGAAGTTGTTATACAAAACAGAATATCGTATTCATTAATTGCTATGTTTATGTACTTCCGCAAGTGTAGAAATTGCAGTGTAATTTATCGTAGTTTATAATTACGTAAGTCCTTATCATATTTTCATAGATATTTTTATGCAAATTGTTGATATAGAAATAGCACTAGAGTTAATATAGTTGCAATGTATAACGATAACGCTTTTGTTTTCGTTTATTAAGAATATTATTTTAAAATAATCTTTGGTACGTAAGAGAAGCTGTCGCTCGTAATATCAAAATAACAGATTTGATATTATTCTATGAAATCATTTTATTGTACAATTGTACTAACATATTATATAAAAAAATATTTCATCACTGTCACTGTTATTCTTGCACATAATCATGTTTTTATCTTGTGTATGTTTATTTAGTAACTAAAAGTTTATCAGTTGATAAAATAGCATATATAATTTACACAATTTAGTGTGTATAACTTTATTTTATCAGCAATCTATTCTTATCATCATTCTTGTAACATTTGCTCTTTTCAAAAAAACATAAACACTTATATATTAGATATATTTATTTTAGCTATATTCCTATTGCACGTTCTGCGTTTTGAAATTAAATAGAGATTCCGATTTTGAAAGAAGAAACAGAAAAGATATAAAACATAAAAGTTACGAAAAACGAATTTTCATGCTACCATTACTACTTTTGCTACTACAGTAATTTGCAATTGTACTACATGTACCATTTTCTTGCATTGAAAGGTCGACGTTACGGCGACGACATCAAAATCGTATGGAAAGAAGAATGGCGGAAGATGAGAGGCAAATTAGAATGGCCGCTGAAGCTATATTAAGTGGTTCGATCAATTCCCAGAGGAGCTCGATCACGCAGCACAGCATAACGCGTACGCCGGATATCGTTCTCAGCGAGGACCTGATCGCAGGAGCGAGGCACAACGGCAGGATGTCGAACGTCAGGCGTTTCTTCTGCCTCTTCGTCACCTTCGATCTTCTTCTTACATTCCTCATGTGGCTCATTTGTACAATGGTATGTTGGAGCTTCAGACATTGACTTTAAATATATCGGATGTAACTTAAATACCGACCACTAATATATAGTGTTACATAGTGTTATTCCTTGTAATAAAAACTGACTCGAGAAGTCCTGAACCATTTTTTTCTACAGCGCTAAATAAAACAATCACTACTGCAGTAATTATTGCTTTATTGAGCATTGTAGAGAAAAATGGTTCAGGATTTTTCAACTCAATTTTTTTTATAAGGAGTAGTACTATATGATTAGTGATATTTTTAAGAAATGTTTTTGTCTACAATGCTTAATGAATCAGTAATTACTGCAGTAATGATAACTTTATTTAGTACTGTAGAAAAAAATGGTTCAGGACATTCGACTGTTTTTTACAAGGAATAACGCTATGCAATTAGTAGTCGGTATTTAAATTATACCCTGTATAGATCGAAAACTTAATCCTGTCAAAGATATAATTTTTTATTTTGATAATATATACAGCTCGCATTTATGAGCAAAGGATTATATTTTGCCGCATATTTTAATTTGCGTATCACTTATTGATGAGAAAAATACACTAAATTTATAATGTATCGTTATAAAATGTCTAATGAAGTTAAATTGCTGAGATAGTCAGTCATTTTGTATCGCGTCAGATAATTGCATCGCTGACTTCTTGTCAGACTAACATTTTATTAGCTTAGCTTTCGTTTTGCGTCAAATTTTCTTGTTTATGTACTATAGTTGCAATTTATCATACGTAAATAATATAATAATAATGTGGGATTGTATATTTGTGAGTGTATGTGATGGATGTGTTACGTGTGTGTGCACGTGTGTGCCTGAGGTCGTGCAAGAGTGTGATCTCATATAAAAATCTTATTTATTATTGTATAAAAAAAATTGTATTTTATATATTTACAGATTGCAGGTGAAAGTTTAAAAACAGCTTTCATAGATCAAGTGATACACTATCACATAAAGACGTCTTTGTTTGATATTGTCGTAAGTATATTCTGTCATTCATTTGTAATTAGTAATTAATAACAGAATGACGACAATGGCATTCTCAGTTCGTCATAATTTTTCATTATTCATTGGGAGCAGAGATTTTACGGATTTCATCTTCTCAGATGGCAGCGATTTGCAGGTTCACGGTCTTGTTGCTCTTTTATGCGCTACTGTATCTCAATCACTGGATCATTGTAGCTGTGAGTATAGTTGTCAATTGAATAATCTTTTCGCAAAAAAGAAAAATTTGTTTATAACTATTTTGCGACGAAACAAAGAGTAAAATATTTTTTGTACAGCAATTTTATTTAAAAAAATATATATATTATAATGATTTTTAATTGTATTTTACAGATATCAACTGCCACAACATGTGCCTTTTTAATTGCCAAAGTTTTTCTCTTTGATGTAAGTATTTTTGGAATACTTATGTATCACTTTATTAATTTTTTTTATTTAATTCATTTAATGTATCACGTTTTTAGTGGACATCAGCTAACCAACCAGTATTCCAAGTTCTGCTGATCTTAACATCTTTTGTATTATCATGGGCAGAGGCTTGGTTCTTCGATTTTCGCGTGATACCTCAGGAAACTCAAGCAAGAAATTGGATTCGAAGTAAGCCTTTCTCTCTCTCTCTCTCTCTCTCTCTCTCTCTCTCTCTCTCTCTCTCTCCCTCTTTCTCTCAAAAAAAATTTTTTTAGAAAATTAAAAAAAATAACATAAATGAATAGAGACAATTTTACTAAAACTTTTGTCCAAAATAGAATAGTTTTCGACATATAACGAGATTCTTTCGAGAAAGAAGTTAAATATTGCTTCACTATAAAGGGTCATTTTAAAACCGTTTTTTCACCGCAAATTATATTTTGTAAATTCATTAGTTTACATAACCTATATGTATACATTAAAATTAGAACTTGATTTTGTTACAAAACTACTTGTATATTCACACATACCGATCGAACATTGTTTTATTGTTTTCTGTGACAAAATTCTGATTTTAACGACACTTATAATGTACAAAGTAAAATCAAAACTTGACACTTAATTTTGTTATAAAATTAATTGTATATTCACACATATTGTTTTATTGTTTTTTGTGACAAAACGCTATCATTTTCACGTGGAAATAGCGTTTTGTCACGGAAAACAATAAAATAATATTCGATTTTAGCACTTTGCGAGATTTTCTTGGAAGTAGAGAATATAGCAATTTAATCGCAATTTATTTAACCTTGATTTTCGCATATTAATCTGAAAATATGAAAAAATCGATGAGTTTATGATATTTACAGATTTTCCGGATACAGAAAGAGCTCCATTATTACAAGGTATTGCTACCGAATCACGGCAATATGCAGCAAATGCCGATCATATGAATACATTTTTCACACCTGTGGAATCCCCGACTCATTCTGATGATGAGGATATCCCCAGAAAGCAAGGAGACTCGAAGCTTTCAAGATCCAGTGAATTATTTAGGTTCCTAGCAAAACTTACACCCGACAAGGTTAGTGAAATTATGTTTTTTTCTCGCTTTAATTGATAATTAATTCGCAATAAGTATTAAAAGAAAAAAAGAATATATGTCTCTTGACTTTAGTTATTACTTAATGTCCACTGTAATCAAATGCAATGTTTATACAGTATCAGCAAGTATTTTAATGATCCAATAACTCTTAGATTATTTGATAACATATTGTTAGTGAAACTATATGTATGTACAAATATATATATGTAGTCAGTGTTAAATTTATTTCTATTCGTCTATGACCTTAATAAATGTATGTTCAAACATTCAACGATAACTGAAATTCGTGGGAGGGGTAGAAAACAGGCAGTAGAAAATACGGGAGTAACAAAGTACAAAGGCATGGTCAAGAAACGTGTTGTCTTTAGTTCTTTACAAAGCTTATTCGCGTGAAGTAGCTAGACGGGCGACTCGTGTTTAATGTGATTTTTTTTGTGCAAAAGAAAAAATTTGTCACGTTAAATTTTAATCCGTAAATTTTATTTGATTAATCATAGTTTACATCATGTTTTTAATTGTTAATTTTATTCGCATGATTATACGCCCGTTCTTTTTGGGTGAAGCTATGAAATATTTACCTAAACCTGTACAAACCAATTGGTCCCCAAAAGAAGGGACAGAATTCTCAGCAATCAGTAAAATACTTTTCGTGAGTTATTTTATCTATTTGCTTTATTATTATTAAGAAGCTATAAATGCTCAAAGATTACGAATTTCTATAATTTGTTTGTGGAATCATTGACTCAAAATATGTTGTTTCTTAATCTATATATATTTAATTAGTACAGTAGTATAATAAATGTTCGAAAATTTTTCCTTTTGCAAGACTAGGTTTTCATTCGTCGAAATAATGTCGAACTTTTATTTATGGGACCATGTAAAACACAGTTTTGGAGCATTTAAAATAGAAGATTAGAAATAGAAGATTAGAATAGAAGTTTTGAGAATGTATGCAAAATATATCCTGTTTGCTTGTTTCTTGGCTTCTCTTTGAATATTTTTTCTTGCTAA